AACGAATAAACGTATCGAATAAATTCGATTTACTTTGATTACGTGAGTAGAGACTAATTTTGTTATTTCTTATTCATGAATGAATGATAATTCAACAATAATCCAGATTTTTTTATTCATTATTCAACGTAACTTTCATCTAACAGCTTTCTATTATACCGACGTTATTCCGACGTTATACCGACAGTATCGATACATTTGTTCACGACGACGATCGGCCGTCATATTCGAAGCTTTTGCTCACGCTTTCGCGCACCCGGTCTATGCGCGCTCTCATTGGTCAGTGTTTTTTGCTAATAACTCGAAAATGGAGCCTCAACCAATATTTTGGCAAAGGAAAAAGTTGTTCAGAATCGCCCCACCTACCACCCCTTTTCGGGTCCTACACTAATTGCGGGACACCCTGTATATACATTACGTGTGCAACCATAAATGTGTAATATATTCATGTATTCCATTGGTTGCGTTCGTCGTGAAAACGCCTCGGGTAATTTTGCTCGATCGACATTAACCGTGTTACGATTCCTCGATACCCACCACTTTGTACAGCTACGTCTTTGAAATCAACGATCGTCGGTTCTCGACAAAAGGCACCCTTCGAGGTGAACATGGACTTAGGGGAGGGTTTACGAATTTCGACCACCTTTGATATTCTCAGTAACGTCTCTCACATTTTACTATTTTGTACAATGAAATACATAGTTTAGTGTGGACAAAATATCCATAATTCTCAAGCTATATTCTCATAAGAATCTTCACTTCACAAGATCGCTAATATCTCTTTACCTATCAGTATTACGACAAAAATAGTTATTACAGAATTTGTAGGTCAGGAAATTCTCTATAAAAAACGTTATATGAGTTTCTGTCGTAGGAGTCACCGTTTTCACGTATGATACACATGTTTTCAACCTTCGCACCCACTGCTGCAATAAAAGGTCACAACTCGATGTCCAACATTTTCAATTATATTTTTTATAAACATATAAGTTTAAATAATATGTAGAATATTAGTCACAATTGAAGGAAGTTTTATAAAAAATTCTTTGTAGCTGTCTCATTTAAAATGTGGTCCAATCTGTAGAATATTAGTCAGAATTGAAGGAAGTTTCATAAAAAGATTCTTTGTAGCTGTCTCATTTAAAATGTGGTCCAACTTTCCCCTACCTCCGCATTCACCTTGCAACATGTAAATTTTTTACAAAGAACTTCGCCGTTATCGTCACCGTTTTGCATCCACAACCTCGAGTGTGCATTTGGGATTATATGCTCGAATTTTAATTTTTACATTGCTTGAAATTCGGAACAGAGTGTGTAATTGTGTAAGAATAAATTGACGAAGAGTTAAGTGTTTAGGCAACGATAGATGGCACTGTATTTGTAACTCGTCTATTATTTATTGTATTGTATATCAACAAAGAGGAAGTCTCTATGTCTTGTTACCACGTTCATATTTTCATTGGCGAAAGATATAATTTGTACATACTGTCCAATAAACTTATCTACGATGCGTGAAATGTTATTTTTTATTCCAACAGTTTTTCCCTCATCCCATATAACGAAATGATTCTTCGTGAATCGTCAGACTTTGAATTAAGCCGACTAATTTTCCACGCGATTGGTTCCCTGAGTAACCGCAGTTGCCTGAATTACTTGGGGCACTCTCGCTGACAGAGTCAGCGAACTTCGATGAAACTTTGAAAGTTTGAAGCGCATCTAGAAATAAAAGGTCTTGTCATTCACGGGAACGGTTTAGACGGTGAGGCCTGAAGGTTCATACGTCATCTTGGAAATTAATCTTTAATATTAGAAGTCGAACCGAGGGAAGTAAATCAGAAGCAAACGAAGATGGAGATGTCTTGATACGATTAGAAATTCTTGTGGGAGGACGTCTCGGGGGACCTCGTCGTAAATTATTCAGAAATTCGTGAAAAATGGAGACTGTCGAAAATTGAACAAGACCTTCGTATTCCTAACCAGTTTGGCAGCTATGACAAAGGTTCACTCTAACTACACTTTCGGATTTATTGTCTTGTGTTTTAATAATGCATGACGGAAATTAGTTTTAATCTTGTTTTATGGTGGAGTGAACGCATTGATGATATCAATGCGTGGAAATTTGGTACGCTGAGAATTCCACGCGTGGAGACTTGGCGCGCTGAGAATTCCACGCGTGGAAATTTGGCGCGCTGAGAATTCCACGCGTGGAAATTTAGCGCGCTGAGAATTCCATACGTAGAAATTTGGCGCGCTGAGAATTCGACGCGTGGAAATTTGGCGCGCTGAGAATTCCACGCGTGGAAACTTGGCGCGCTGAGAATTCCACGCATGAAAATTTATCGCGCTGAGAATTCCACGCGTGGAAATTTGGCGCGCTGAGAATTCTACGCATGGAAATTTAACGCGCTGAGAATTCCACGCGTGGAAATTTATCGCGCCGAGAATTCCACGCGTGGAAATTTGGCGCGCTGAGAATTCCACGCGTAGAAATTTGGCGCGCTGAGAATTCCATGCGTAAAAATTTGACTCGCTGAGAATTCCACGCGTGGAGACTTCGGTAAATCAGAAGCAAACGAAGATGTCTTGATACCATTGGATCCTTGTGGGAGGACGTCTTGGGGTCCTCGTCGTAAATTATTCAGAAATTCGTGAAAAACGGAGATTGTCGAAAATTGAACAAGACCTTCGTATTCCTAACCAGTCACTTTAGCAGCTATGACAAAGGTTCTTGAGGGAGAAAATGACTGACGTGTAAGCAAAATTAACTTTCCTTTTTTTTAAGACAACTCGCAGCATCAGTAGACTGTTTCGACTCAAATAGAATAAGTATTGTAATGACAAAATGAAAGTGTACAAGTATAAACAGCTTTAGTCTTCATTATTCACATTTTACAAATAATCAAATATCATTATTCAGAAGAAGAAGGTATTTTTACAACAAATAACCATCGATATATGAATTGTAGTCTTCCTGATTTTTTCCCAAAACCGAAGTATCTCACCTTTGGCATTATCTATTCGCGCAATTAATCCGTCGAAGTAAATTGTCGATCCACCCGCTTTCCCTTCCGCTTTACATAATTCGGCTGGTCATCGCTCGAGCTCGTAAATTCTTTACGACACCATACCACACACACGGTCTCGGAATCGCAAGTAAAAAGATGGCACACGCCACGCTACCGAAGAATAAAATTTCTTCGCGTTCCTCCATTTCCTTTTACGGCCTACGTTGTGTACCGGCTGTAAAATCCAACGGCCAGGCGGCGCCATGATAAGTCGGAGATGCCACTGGAACGATGGTTTCGCCTTTCTCATTGTCACTTATTTACTCGTATCCTCGCTGGAACGATCTCCGGCGATAAACCGGCTCACAATTAACCCTTCGAAGACGGATGCTCTGGAACTGACACGGATGCTGGCTCATTTTCACTCGTAACTAAAACGTCGTTATGCGACCGGGTCAAGGATGATTTGTGTATGACGTCTCAAATAATTTCTCACGGGTCTCGATGACCTGTACAGACTCTTTCATAAGTTTTACTTTTACCAGATGTACACGATTCGTTTACTATAATCATATACTTCACAGTACTCGTTATTTTTAACTTTACAGATGAGATTCAATTTGTTAGTTACTTTATTTCTATTTTATTTTCGATGACAGATGTATACTTTAGATTTTTTATATCGATTTATACTAACTTAACTCACGACTTCACTCACTTTTATCGACTTATACCTCCTACTAATATCTCCTACGTTTTGGGTATGTATGTATATCAACTTTGTATTAACTTCATATTTAGTATGTGTATATTAACTTTATATCAACTTCGTATTTCATATGTGTATATCAATTTTATGGGAACTTCATATTTTATACATGTATGCAAACATTAACTTCGTATTTCATATATGCATATTAATTTTATGTGAATTTTATATTATATACATGTCTGCAAGCATTAACTTCATATGTTATATATGAATATATATGGATATCAATTATATATGAACTTCATATTTTAACATGTATGCAAACTTCATATTTTGTCGCTTTTATCAAAAAGAAATAGACAGAATTCATTGGTCTATTACAGAAGATATTTTCATTTTTGATAGGTCGTCAATCGGTTTCAATATCGATTGCAAAGCTATTAAAATACCTAGTACTTGACGAAAAATTTTGCTGTGAGAAATTCCATTCTCCTCAAATGGCTTTTCGAGTATCGACAACTGTAATTCATCCGGAATCTCTTCAAGTCTAATGAATCCACCAATTGGATTTCGATCAGCTTCGAATTACCACGATTAATCTCGATACCGATGTACCTGCTGCCCTGCAGCGAATTCTAATCAATTTAAATGCTATTCGAGCTGTTCTCTGATAAGTTCTGTAATGCCTTGAGTATCCTATTGAAATCGGAAATTGAAAGGAATCTTTGAAACAGTAGATACATGTAGGACATCGGAGTTAATATTGAAGTTCGTCAAAATCTTTTGGTTAACGAGTTTGAAAGTAACTACGTACTGAAGGATATAGATAATCTAATCAATTATTAATTTATAATTAACGAGAGTCAATGGATCAGTGAATCCATACGTCTCTTCACGATGATACATGAAATCACAAAGAATGAACTTAACTTTGCATTTGAAGTAGGTCTCAACAGATAGATTCATTTTGCCAAGTTCGAACAAAAGATCATCGATGTTCCAAAATCATAATAGAAAATTTCAGAGTGATAAAGGCACATCTGTCACCTACAGAACCTTTCCACACTAAAATAAAATCCTCACAAATTTCCTTTTAACACAAGAAGAAAATCACCATTTCAAGATCCAAATGTCCGAAGGAATCTCGTGGAATCACAAACCTGATCCCAACTTCGTCCTGAAAAATCTCGACTCACTCGTAATAAGAGCAAAGATACCAATTTAAGAAACTCAGACTAATTTAAGAAACTCGTCAGAAGAATTTAAAAATCGCAAAATGTCCTGCTTGCACTATCAATCGATGGATCCATCGAGGGAGAGACCCTACTACGATGGCCAGTACAACAGTTACTCTTCCTATACTCCACGGACTCAAACCCCGGACACTTATCGAGGTACTTTTATCATAAGCTTCGCTCAAAATATATCGATCACGACCATTAGATGTGCTTCGCATCGCAGGATATTACTCCAGTTGGAGAATGGCCGAGCATCAAGGGAACTTTGAAACACCCACTGCAGGTAAAATGAAATTCTCAAAGGAAGAGTCTTCAATGCGATCCTTTGAGGCGTGCGATTTACTGCCTGCGAATATACCTACACGTATGAATACTCGAAACATGAAAGGAAGGTACACACGTTTCAATGGTTTGCGATCCGACATTGGAAAGAAGGCATTTTCCTACTGGTTTGCTTTTTGATACCCTTTTTCGCACCTCTGATACGTTTGACGTTAGCTTGTGCAAAGGTCAAATTGGGTTAGGTGGAATATGGGCTGTAAATGTTGGTGATTTGGTATTTTATATTTTTTATTCTGTGAAATTGATTTAATTTGCAGTGTGGTTTATTTGCTAGGTCAAGTAGAATTAATCAGAGTTGCAATATTTATAGATGAAGAAAGTTAAAATGTTCAGTCAATTTGGTGTTTATTTTATGAGATTGATTTAGCAATTTGCACTATGGTTTGTTAGGTCAGTTAGAAATCATAGCTACTATATTAAAATAGACAAAGTTAAAATTTTATGTCTATTTGGTTAGACTTATTTTATGAAATTAATTTAACCTTTTGCACTATGATTTATTAAGTCAGTTAAAACTAATCACAGCTACAATATTAAAATAGACAAAGTTAAAATTTTATGTCTATTTGATTAGACTTATTTTATGAGATTAATTTAACCTTTTGCATTATGATTTGTTAGGTCAGTCAGAACTAATCATAGCTACAATATTGAAACAGACAAAGATAAAATGTTGTGTCAATTAGGTTCAACTTATAAGATTGATTTTATAAGCTTGATTTTATAAGCTTGATTTTATAAGATTTATTTTATAAGATTGATTTTATAAGATTTATTTTATAAGATTGATTTTATAAGATTTATTTTATAAGATTGATTTTATAAGATTTATTTTATAAGATTGATTTTATAAGATTTATTTTATAAGATTGATTTTATAAGATTTATTTTATAAGATTGATTTTATAAGATTTATTTTATAAGATTGATTTTATAAGATTTATTTTATAAGATTGATTTTATAAGATTTATTTTATAAGATTGATTTTATAAGATTTATTTTATAAGATTGATTTTATAAGATTGATTTTATAAGATTGATTTTATAAGATTGATTTTATAAGATTGATTTTATAAGATTGATTTTATAAGATTGATTTTATAAGATTGATTTTATAAGATTGATTTTATAAGATTGATTTTATAAGATTGATTTTATAAGATTGATTTTATAAGATTGATTTTATAAGATTGATTTTATAAGATTGATTTTATAAGATTGATTTTATAAGATTGATTTTATAAGATTGATTTTATAAAATTGATTCTATAAGCTTGATTTTATAAACTTGATTTTATAAGCTTGATTTTATAAGCTTGATTTTATAAGATTTATTTTATAAGATTGATTTTATAAGATTGATTTTATAAGATTTATTTTATAAGATTGATTTTATAAGCTTGATTTTATAAGCTTGATTTTATAAGATTGATTTTATAAAATTGATTTTATAAGACTGATTTTATAAGACTGATTTTATAAGATTGATTTTATAAGACTGATTTTATAAGATTGGAAAGGAACCGTTGTACCGCAATATTAACAGCAATTTGATAATGACTAATTAGGAGCTTAACAGGCGAAAATTTCATTACTCTGTATGTTCGCTTAATTAAGCGTATAATTGCTACCCGACTAATAGAGTATGCGAATAACGCAGGTTCGAATATTGGAGATTCAGAGCTAATCCTTTCGCTATGTAATGTTCGATCAAAAAGAGCTGACGCCACCGTATCTGCAGTTCGTGAAATTCTTGCAATTTATTGCTTCAAGTATAATTTATTTCGCTGTAAATTTTAGGGTGGTCGATTTATTTTATTATCTTGCGTTCAGAGGATATTTTTAGAAAATTAGTGGTGGTTGTACATAATAACTGGAGTGAAGCCACAAGTTATAATATAAATAGGATATTTTTAGGTTATAAGTATAAATAGAAAAACCTTTAAAATCATGCTATAAATAACTTGAAACACATTAAAATAATTTTTATGCTACTGTAAAGTCAGCAACAACAACTACTATAAATTTAGCTCAACTAAAAGTAATCATAAATTTAAGTTAAACAAATAACAAACAAAATTAACCAAATTAACAAACAAAAAGTACTCAATATGACACTGACCAAAAAAACTTGCAACCTTCCTATCACAAGTTTCTCACTAAATATGCCTATTACAATTACATAAATTAATCAAAGTTTTCTTGCAAGCAAAAGGCGACACGTACTCCGACATCCGAAGTCAAACCGGAAGAAGCACGTACAAACAGGAAACGTTGCTGCACGGGGACCAGATCGCCATCGATAAAATGCAAACGAAAATGAAATTCCTCGAGAACAGCAATATTGTAATGCAAACTCGTAATCAGAATCTTATCACCGAAAACAAAGCCCTTGCATCCCAGTGAGTATTGAATGCCTGAACAATGGGCTTGCTTAATCGATATTCTCTTCAACTTGCATTCGTATAGGTCGGTCGAAAAAGGATGCTTTTCGTTGCATCGGCAATTTCAACGTGCTTCAAACTTTTTTGTATTTCTAAACTTTTCGGTCGATACGTTCATATATGCTTGAAAGTGTTATGTGTTCATACTTGACTTATGAGTCATTCAACGCCAGGACGTCAACTTTGTTTAAATTTTTCAATATTTTATAACAAATTTATGGAATTAAAAAAAATATTTTAAAATGGCATAATTCTTTGTGAATGAAACAAAAACGAATTTAGTTAAATTGGTTGAGTGGTTGCCGAGAAAAAAATTCGTGAGTGAAACCTATTTTTGTAAAAATGAGCAAAAATTGCAGAGTTTGGAGATGCATTTTGGTATGACAAATTTTTTAATTTTGAAATTACCGTATTTGTTCTTTCTTTGCCAGAACTGTAAACAGAATTGTAGAATTGAGAAGCTAATTTATAATCAAAAATTCATTACACGGTAAATTTAATATTTCATTGCAAAGTATCGTTTGACAGTGCAATATGAGAACCTTATTTTCATGAACATTCATAATTAACATTACATAATTATGAAACAGAAATGTATTAAACGAGAGGGTGTTTTCGTTGGTAACTGAACTTTCCACCCACACGTGCTTTGTACATGTAGCGGATTAAATAACATTTTCTGCATATAGAAGATAATGACCTCATCTCGCTTGGAATATTTTTATCTGACCACTTCTTCTTTCATTTCAGGAGCTTAATTTCTGGCGTTATTATGATTGGGTTATACACTGCAATTTTCTTTATTAATATTTCAAAATATTTTTTAATTAAATATTTTTCTTCTGAAGTGCAGCAATAAATTGTTCATTTAATTAATAACCATGTAAAATCATTTGTCAAATGCACTTAATTACAGCAATGATACAACACGTTCTCGTTATATGGCCCTTTCAGTGCTCTTCTAATAATTGTATATCACAGAGAGTCACAAAATCAATCAAAATACATAATCATCTATAAAATTTATAAAATATTTGCATTTTCACAGCACCATCAGAAACAACATACTCAAAGTCTGTAACAAATAAAATAATATTAAAATAACGAAAACAATAAATGTTGTAAAATAATATTCCTTGATTAGAAATGTCTCCGATGTTCATATAAAAATTTTGTTGCAAGATTGAAAGAGGAACAGACCGAGATAAAAAAGCTTGAAAAAATGATTGCATCGTTACGAGAAGAACTCGACAATGAAAAATTGAAAGTGGAGCAAATAAAGGAGCAAGCGGAACAAGCCAGTGTACAAATATTTACGCGTGCCTTAACGCGCTCGAAACTGAAATTTTACTTTGATTGTAGAAAAAGAACGCATCCATGCTGAAAGCCAGCGGAACCTCGACTACGAACATCGTATCCAGGATCGATCGAGGGATACAAATTTGGGCGGTGTGCATGGGATGCCAGAGGAAGTTGGAAAGTTGCGAGAAACAACCCCCCACTGTTACTATTACCAAGTAAACTTTTTTAATCCATCTTTTACCTAACGTTCTCTTTCATCAATTTTTTTTATTACACCGATTCGATAACACAGCTAATTAATTAGACTAATACCATTATATTTTGCGCAAAGTTTTTATATTTTACGAACTCAGGTTATTAAAAATTAATTAGGTTAGCTCGATTACGTTACTGTCGTTTACATGATAGCAATACTTTTAGCTTGTCAATAAATATTGGATTTACTTTTAGTTTTATTAGAAAGTTTGACCGCCATTATATGCTCCTTTCGTATTAACACAAAATGGCGGATTATGTACAGGATTCTTACAAACACATCGTTCCCTAAAGCTGAAAGACTGAAACATGCGTGAAAGGAATGATATTTTATTTGAAAGAAACGTTACAGAGATCAACTCTGATTTTTCAAATATTTTTCTTACACGGACCGTATATTTGAAACATTATATTGTTTCCGTGCAGACAAGACTTGAGTTTGTATTTCTTGAAACATTCTGTTTCAGATCTGAGTTGGAAGTATTAGAAAAGGACATGCAAACTTTACGGGACACCATAATCGCTAGGGAGGAAGCATGGGACAAGGCTATGGAACGGGAACAGAACTATCGACAACAACTGACGCGATTAACTACAGAAACGATCACGGCTCGCCATCTTTCCGAAACGCGCCACGAGGAGGTCAAAACGATGTCGAACGTATTGTCGGTAATGTGAAACTATTAGTCAGAATTGTTTGACTAATTATTGTTAAAAAATTACAATATTAAATACTTAATATTAAGTGGAGTACTTAATATTGTTGGATAAACACTTTAGTTAACATTGCATTTCTCTGGACATATAATATTCAAATATAGAAATCAATGTCTAAATATCGAAACGTAAAATTATCTACCTAAATGTTAATATCTTCTTAATTACAGAAAATCGATTGCTTCTTCCCTTATAATAATTTGCTCACTTTTTCTCTTAATTCTTATCGGCCTTCCTTGACACATTTCTTTTGATGAAGTTTAATTAAATCCATTTGAATTCTTCAGGAGAAGGAGTCGGAATTGAAGTGTCTTCAGAAAGAAAATCTTTACCTGGACAAATTGATAACAAAGCTGTACAGTTGCTGTCTTAGGTAAGACACCTATTTTTGAAATCAAAAATGAAAATAAAATTAGAACACGTTTTATTAAAATAGACTTATTTTACTGAAATCGAGATTTGTTTAAAATTAACCAATCAAGATTTGCTCAAAATTATCAACCAATCAAGATCTGTTCAAAATTATTAATCAATCAAGACTTGTTTAAAATTATCAACCAATCAAGATCTGTTCAAAATTATCAACCAATCAAGATCTGTTCAAAATTATCAACCAATTAAGACTTGTTTGAAATTATCAATCAATCAAGATTTGTTCAAAATTATTTAAGATCGAAGACCAATAGTTCTAAAATTCAGCGAAACTTGGAGATATTGTATAATAATTTTACTTAGTCAAAGTTTGGACTAGACGTAGGCTATACATTCTTAAGATGTTCGCTCCAAGGAATGCACAAGCATTCTATCTAGTCTGTTAGATGGTTCGAGAGAATTACTCAGTTCGGCAATTCGTTGGTAGTTTCCTTCGGTATGTTATACTACAAATATTTTTGGAAAAATACCAATGGAGTGGTAATAGAATTTGCCAATCACAGTGTAACTTTAGCTGAACTTAGGAACATCTGTGAAACTAAACTCATAAAGTATACATACTAGACAATTATTTAAAATGTTGTCTTTGATAACATATGTCATATCTCAAAAGATGAGCTGCATCAACAGAGAAACTAGCATCAAACATTTGCTGGAAAATAATAGTAAAGTAAATTCTGGAGAAACATGTGCAATTATTCTGTATTTAAAAATTACGACAAGAGAACACAGCATCAAATTTTTTTATATAGAAATTGAATCTTGAGTCGAAACTTTGAGTCAAACTGATTGGTAGTTGCAGTGTTAAAAGATACATATTCATTAAAAAAAAAAGAATTTGACATACGTGCAAAATAAATCTAACTTCTGATAATTTGTCAGACAATTCTGCAACCCTTAAAAGTTCAAAGACGTTTGTATTTCCAAAGATATTTACAGGGCAAAATACGACAGAAATAGAGGGTTAACAGCTGTTCTAATCAACGTAAGGCAAAGCGCAATAAACGTAAGCACGTAACAATTAAAGGAGAACAAAAGAGATTAGTCGGAGTGGGTAATACATTAGAGAGTGGTGGACAGTGGGTAGCGAAACGAAAAGGAAAAGCGTAGGCAAAATTGTCAGATCGCAGCGTAGTTTCTCGCTTTTTGTCAGGGTCTCGCATCGTAACCCTCTATCGCTTAAACCGAGCTACACTCTTCGCATTTTAGTCGTTTCATTAGCGAAATGTCCGCCGTAATGTACCACGGAGAATGCCGCTTCAAATTTCACGTAACGAGATGCGAGCTTCCTCCATGCCAGACACCCTGGGATTCCCCTTTTCACTCTCTTTATTTTCTCCTCGCATCTTTATCTTCCGATGCATAAAGGATCGCGTTAAATGCACCGGAAATTTCGTCTCTATGTTTCCTTTCGGTATCTTTTAGTCGATTTATGTCCTGTTATTTGTTGGACAAAATACGCAGGAAAGGAACTTTTTAAAGGGTATAGCCGGATAAGGTGGTCAAATGTGCCCTTGAATCAAATGAGAAACCCAATTTGCCAGTCGGTAGCATATTCAAAAACGTCTCACACCAAGTTTCAGCCCCCTATCTCATCCGTGGGGGTAGGAAAAAAACGAAATTCCAGTTTTTTATTTTTTACAACTACAATTTGCGATAAAAAATTCTGCAAAAATTCTGAGATATTGAGGTACTTGTAGCCTATATTACAGAATTTTTTCAGATTTTTTGATCGCAAATTGTAGTTGCTAAAAATCAAAAACCGAAAAATTGAGATTTTTTAGTGAAGATATTGGAGTACTACTTTTATATTAATGTGGTAGTTACATATTAGCATTCCCCAATTATTAGGTTAATTATTCCCTAATTAAGAATCCCTCATTTTTTTCAGACTTTTAGCTGAGGTGCGCCATAGTTAAAAAAGTCAAAAACCAATACATTCCTTACTCCTTTTTTCCAGAGAAAAAGAAGTGTTCAAAGCTACAATAGCAAACGAGATGAACGAGAAGGATATAAAGTTCGTGGAAGAATTAGTCCGCCGAATGACCAACGCGAAGTCAAAGCAAAAACCAAAATCAAAGAGCGCTTGCTTCGAGAGGTCCATGCATTCGGGTGTTCACCAAATAATCAGTCCACGCGATAAAAGTGCAAGGACAATGAGGGATCAGACTTCGTCCAGAGATTCCAAACGATAAGATCAATTTTTAATAGAAATTTGCAGCAGTGAAATTTTATATCGAACGCTATGTAAAATTGACGGGTGCCATAGTTTTAAGTGTCGAAGGAGGCAGGTCGATTTGGACCTGGGCTGTTAAAATATACGTTAAAAAAATTTTATTGTTCTATGTAACAAGTGTTAGTATTTTTATTTCTATTCTAATTGTAGAAATGAAACAATTTGTATATTATTTCTATAACTGAATTCGCAACTTGTAGGAGTTGCGAAAGTAGCTTCAATCGATATGGTAGTTTGGGAATTCCTTTTTATCAAAGGTCATAATTTCAGTGTAAGTTTGATAATAATTTGGTAACGTCGAAGTGAGTCTAAACTTAATTAGACTTGCACTCTGATGCAATTTGATGCATATTATAGTGAATTAAGCTAATAAAATCAATTTTAATTGAATTTTAAAAAAAAAATAGAACATGTGGCGCCATCTCTCCGGCGAACAGGGTGAACTACACACTTTTGAAACTGCACTTTAATTAGTTCACATCTTCTACCACCAGGTGGCAGCACATTAGACAAAAAAAAAATAGGGTAATTAGAATCAACCTAAGATTGGTTAAAAATTAATAATATTTTAGTAACGTTAATGCAGTTCAAAGTTAATTGGTCTTGTACTCCAATGCAATTCAATTTATATTATATTCAATTAAGCTAATAAAATCCACTATACCGAAACGAACTGGACACGTAGCGCCGTCTAGTGGTGGTTTGAGGGAACTAACGAAATTGCAGTTTCAAAAGTGTGTAGTTCACCCCGTTCGCCGGAGAGATGGCGCCACTTATTCCATTTTTTTTTTTTTAAATTCAATTAACATTGATTTTATACATTAATATGCTATGTATTTATTATGTATTCATTAATATTGACTTTGTGCTATTTGCAATATATATTACACGGGTCTGAGGATGTAAATTATGTGATTAGAACAAGTTGCACACTATAGTGTACCTCGTCGATAATATAGGGAATGACATAAGAATTACAACAAATTTTGAACAAAGAAGAGCTTATTGGCCAAATTTGGTTGATATCGGAATATGACGATTTTCCAAAGTTTCATCTTTCTTTTCATAAACTTTCTTACCATTGGAATCATATAATCAACTGTCGGATATGTAGAATTCTACAAAATAAGAGCAGAAAGTTGTGTAATTAAAAATATGTACCAAAACACTTTCCATCGTGAAAGATTATGAAACTGAACAAATATAAGCATTTGGAGATTTGGAAATTTAAAAGGCTGAAAATTAGGAAATTTAAAAATGTGGATACTTAGAAATACATAAAGTTGAGAATTAGGAAATTTGTAGATTTGAAAATGAAGGCTACTAAATCATGGAATTTATAAATTTGTAAATTAGAAAATCAAAAAATATATATATTCAAGACATTGAACCCAAGAAATTATGAGATGTAGACACTTAAAAATTTCCAAATTTTCCAATACAAAACTAGAAAAGTATTTGCAAATCCAAAAACTCGCACTAGAAATATAACATCTCTATAACCAGTGTCAGCCTAACGATACAAAACAGTAACATGACTCTCCATGGCAATATACCGATAAGAACCGGCAATTTAACGCGAGTCTACTGTACCATGCCATCACTAGTACCAAAGGGGGGCTTAGCAGGTAAAAAATTCCTGTTGAATGCCAGGTGAAATGTCAGTCGATGCACCCACGTGATTCCGCAGCGCTGCGACTTGGCTAGCCGGCTGTTCTCGGATACTGGATAATAAAAAGCTGTTCGTGCCACTTGGCGCATTCGTATCTGTCAGTCGCGGCGATTAAACGATGCCGAACAATATTTGATCGCGCGCGATCGAGCAAACACCGATTAGTACCGTTAGATCGTGATCGTCGTCCAAACGTTCGCGTCGTCAAAAGTCGTCCAGAGGTTCGAGGAACGAAACACCAGGTACCTCCGGAAAACGCGATTGTTCTTTGCTTCTTGTACCGTGACGGTTGTTCGACTTCTCTCTTCCTTCGGATGCTTCTCTTTGTATCATACTTTTTATTACCAATTTTGACCCTTTGATGAACTTATGAGGAAAGTCATATTAATTTATAAGTATTAAAAGTTTACGAGTCACAAGTTTGCAATACACAATCTTATGGATTTATAAATTCTGTGTTTTTGACAAGAAATTTTATAAGTTTTGTAACTTCCTGTAATCTGTAACTTACTTACTGTATTTTATTTACTGAGAGTTTCTTCGTGTTGTCGAATTTCTTTCAACTGATGTTTGAACTAAAATTGTTCCTTGAAGGCAAGGTTACACCTTGATAACTTAGCTCTATAGCTTCAAGCTTATATTTGTATCTTTATTAAATTATTACTAACCTATCTCTATCGTAGATTCGTAATCGATTAGAACAATATTTCAAGTGTTGACCTTGAGAGACCTTGATACGTCGCCTCATCATAATGCACGATGCAACATTAGGTGAAGGACGTGTTCCGAGGCTGACCTCGGATTCTCGAAATAACTCCGCGATCCCCGCCGTCGTAATTGTATTTTTACCAATTTACCGAAAACTCGTCAGAAAAAATGGGGGACGGGAATTTTCATTACTCGCAAGGCGAAATGCAGTATATTGAATTTTTAGCGTTCTACTTTCTCCCAGCTCGTTGCACATCGTTCGTAAACATTTCTCTGAAATTAAGGATGCTCGTTAAGTTTCTCAGCGACGCTGCACGGAGCGGTTCCTCCTCGCGCGACTTTCGAAGCGTGCCACCTAACCGCTTCTTGTTTTTTGCTCCTCGCGTTCACTTTGCCTGCAGCTGAGACGATGGACGAGTGGTTCTGCGATCGCGAGACCCTCAAGTACGACGAAGCCTGCGTCAATCTGCGGACGAACCACGAAAATTCAGACGTTTGGCTCTATTTGCTCTCCACGGACTGCGCGCTGGTGAGTCACGCTACTACTCTTTTTGCACCTTGTCACGTGTTTCGCATACTTTTACCTTTCCGTGGCACGGTTCGATTGACTTTCCAGTAATTTCGCGGTCTGCATATGGACTGCTCGTTTAATAATATTCTACATTGCACTGTGGGCAAGTTTTTTAAAAATTATCGATTTTTGTTTTGGGTGATTCAAAGGGGATTTTTGGGGGATTCGAAGATACAAGAAAATGCTGTTATCTACAAATTATAATATTATACTGGTTTAGTATGGGTACAATTATGTACGTAATACATGTGTGACAGTAGGTACATGTGTGATGGACATTCATGTACAATTAGACTGTTCTACATATGTGTATGAGTTCATAGATGTACTCACAGAAAATATTCCTACTTCCAAAATAAGAATACATGTACATGTGTACATCATTCATATGTAGACATCGTTCGGAAACTTGTTAGCAACGTTACCTATAATTCTACGCAAAATAAAATTCTTGAAAGAAATTCTTTTCTAATAAATTTTCTATTTTATTCCTCTAAAATCAACATATGAAAAATTGCTGAATTAACTATTCACCAATAACAGGAGACATTAAAATTATACATCAAGCTAAAGAATTTCGATGCTGACTTTCGATGTTTGATTTCTCAGACAGCCTTAAAATAACTCACTTATCAAGATTTATTAATCAACATCAAAATTATCAGTGATTGAATTAAGTATCAGAGGAATATTGACTAACTTATTGCAGTGTCCATTTGCCAGGGCCAAGCAAATAATAGCGAATGCAAATACCAGCATAATAGTTGACACCGTCAGGCCAACAACTTTTAGGGTATTGGAGGCTGAAGACCCCGATGAGTTTGTATCAGCAAAAAATACGAGGTACTGTAATTTATGAAGGGGGGTTTCTAGTTGGATATTCGATCGCATTCCATTCGCATTTTTCCACGTTGCAGTAACGTGATCTGCGAGCTAACTCCGAACTTGGGACAATTTGGTGTGTACGACTTCACGGTCCAAAATCGAAGTTGCGATATAAAGGTTTTGAACGAGCCAACTTATCCTTATACAGGTAACTGTACAATTTTGTTTGAGTGTAAAATTTTGTTCAAGTGTGAAATTCTGTTCAGTATCTGTTACTCTAAAGGTTAAAAACAAGATAAAATTATGTTTCGATAAAAAAACAATCACTCAGAACATATATTATGTTCAGAACATACATTATGAACGATAAATACAATTTATTCTAAACATTGACAGTGGGTTAATAATACCAGTAATATTTACTTGACCAACTAGAGATAAGAATATCAGAGCAATCAGTGCTTTCAATTAATTTTATCAAGATACAAATATGTCGATTTTGATTTAAATTCAGATACGTTTACGAGATTTTTCCATGGATTTAGAAGTATGTGTTGTATAATGTGTTTGTGATTTTTAGAACTTTTTGTTATTATCGGAGTTTTGGTGCTCGTTCTATTTGGACTGTCTGGTTTGAAGTTATTATGGCACGCTTGCAAGAAGAAGTGCATGAAACGTCAGGTGGACGACACAGCGAGGCAACCTGTAAAACGTCGAGTGAAAGCAATCGATACGGTTCGAGGGTAAGATCTCTGGAAATGTGGACTACAGTAGACTCTCGGTATAGTGTCACCATTTGCACTTAACGATTCTGTGAAATTTTCTTTGGATGACATTTCATGCATGGTATCTTGAAATCCCTGCATTCTCAAATTCTAAAATTCCAATTCCATTTTCCAGTCTTCAAATCTCTAAATTCCCGTATTCTCAAATGTCAAAGATCGCCTGAATTCTCAAATTTCCAACATTATAAACTCTGAAGTTGCCAAATTCCCAAATCTTTAAATCCCCAAATCCTCAAGTTCTCCAGTCTTCAAATTCACAAACCCCCAAGTTCTCAAATTTCCAAATTCTGAAATCCTCAAAAACTAAAGTTTCTAAACTCTCAAATCTGTGAATTCCCAAGTTCCCAAACTTCCAAATCTCCAAACTATCAAATCCTCAACTTCTGCCACCATTAGCACTTCCAAATCTCTGAATTCTTCTCGAGACAAAATTTTAGACACTTACATTATATCATAAAATTTGATGTTGCAGGGCCAGTACACTGTTAATGATATTCGTCAATGACGGATCAGGTGGTTACAAAACCTTGGGGCATGCCACTTGGAACGGTTTACTCCCAGGAGACTTATTATTCCCTTGTTTCATTTGGATCATGGGGGTGTGCATCCCCATTGCCTTGGGTAGTCAGTTGAAGCGAATGGTACCCAAACACGTGATATTATACGGTATACTTAAGGTAACTATTTGCACATAAATGTACTAGTTGACAACCTCTAGTCATCTCTAGTGGTTCATCTTCACATCTCTCAATAGTTAATTTTATTAATCAGCCACAGTATCTAGTGGTGCATGTCCACATCTCTCAATCGTTCATTTTATTAATCAGTCACAGTATTTAGCGATTCATCTCCACATCTCTCAATCGTTCATTTTATTAATCAGCCACAGTATTTAGTGGTACTGTGAAGATGAACATCTTCATCTCCACATCTCTCAACTGTTTATTCTATCATTGACCCACAATATCTAGTTATTCATCCCCACATCAATCCTTCATTTTATTAATCAGCCACAGTATGTAGTGGTACTGCAAAGATCAACATCTTCATCTCTACATCTCTCAATCCTTCATTTCATTACTCCCCCACAGTCTCCACATTTATAACACAATTTCCAACAGAGAAGCGTGCTCCTATTTCTAATCGGAGTATCCCTAAACACGGTGGGCACCGGTCCCCAGCTCGAAAGCATCCGAATATTCGGAGTCCTCCAACGTTTCGGTGTAACTTACTTCATAGTCGCCGTGATATATCTCTTCTTGATATCCAAAAGGCCAACGAAGGTACAGGTAAGTCTACGTACCTTTCTAACCTTCCATAAATCGATACCAAACGTATTATTCATTCATAGTCCCCGATGCTACGAGATGTGCAAGATTTCCTTCTACTGCTACCTCAATGGACCGTGATGTTAGCGATCGTGGCTGCTCACTGCATCATCACATTCTGTTTACCTGTTCCTGGATGTCCCACGTATGTACGTATGATTCAATGAATGATCTCGATTTTATGGCAAGGTTGTTGAAGAACGTGTTTTTTAGTGGATATCTGGGTCCTGGAGGCTTGCACGATGATGCTAAATATTTTGACTGCGTTGGAGGAGCGGCTGGATATATCGATAAAGTGGTGCTCAAGGAACAACATCTGCATCATTCGATGACGGTTTATAAGTCGGCGCCGTTCGATCCTGAAGGGATTTTGGGTATGGAGATTGCTGATGATGTTGTTGATTGATACTGATGAATTTTTAGATATTTCTAGTTTGGAAATATTGAGTTTCTAAGCTCCCGAATTCTCTTATTTTCAAGTTTCCAAGCTCCCAAATTTCCAAGCTTCCAAATTTCCAAGCACTCAAATTTCCAAGTACCTAAATTTTCAAATTCCCAAATTACCACTCTCCCTAATTCTCATATTCCCAAATTTCCATATCCTCCAAATTTCCAAGCACCGAAATTTCCAAATTCCCAAGTTCTCACTCTCCCAAATTCTCACTCCCCCAAATTCTCACTCCTCCAAATTCTCACTCCCCCCAATTCTCACTCACCCAAGTTCTCACTCCCCCAAATTCTCACTTCCCCAAATTCTCACTCATCCAAATTCTCATTCATCCAAATTCTCACTCCCCCAATCCACATCTCTCAATCGTTCATTTTATTAATCAGCCACAGTATTTAGTGGTACTGTGAAGATGAACATCTTCATCTCCACATCTCTCAACTGTTTATTCTATCATTGACCCACAATATCTAGTTATTCATCCCCACATCAATCCTTCATTTTATTAATCAGCCACAGTATGTAGTGGTACTGCAAAGATCAACATCTTCATCTCTACATCTCTCAATCCTTCATTTCATTACTCCCCCACAGTCTCCACATTTATAACACAATTTCCAACAGAGAAGCGTGCTCCTATTTCTAATCGGAGTATCCCTAAACACGGTGGGCACCGGTCCCCAGCTCGAAAGCATCCGAATATTCGGAGTCCTCCAACGTTTCGGTGTAACTTACTTCATAGTCGCCGTGATATATCTCTTCTTGATATCCAAAAGGCCAACGAAGGTACAGGTAAGTCTACGTACCTTTCTAACCTTCCATAAATCGATACCAAACGTATTATTCATTCATAGTCCCCGATGCTACGAGATGTGCAAGATTTCCTTCTACTGCTACCTCAATGGACCGTGATGTTAGCGATCGTGGCTGCTCACTGCATCATCACATTCTGTTTACCTGTTCCTGGATGTCCCACGTATGTACGTATGATTCAATGAATGATCTCGATTTTATGGCAAGGTTGTTGAAGAACGTGTTTTTTAGTGGATATCTGGGTCCTGGAGGCTTGCACGATGATGCTAAATATTTTGACTGCGTTGGAGGAGCGGCTGGATATATCGATAAAGTGGTGCTCAAGGAACAACATCTGCATCATTCGATGACGGTTTATAAGTCGGCGCCGTTCGATCCTGAAGGGATTTTGGGTATGGAGATTGCTGATGATGTTGTTGATTGATACTGATGAATTTTTAGATATTTCTAGTTTGGAAATATTGAGTTTCTAAGCTCCCGAATTCTCTTATTTTCAAGTTTCCAAGCTCCCAAATTTCCAAGCTTCCAAATTTCCAAGCACTCAAATTTCCAAGTACCTAAATTTTCAAATTCCCAAATTACCACTCTCCCTAATTCTCATATTCCCAAATTTCCAAGCTCTCAAATTTCCAAGCACCCAAATTCCCACGCTCCCGAATTTCCATATCCTCCAAATTTCTAAGCTTCCAAATTTCCAAGCACCCAAATTTCCAAATTCCCAAATTACCACTCTCCCTAATTCTCATATTCCCAAATTTCCATATCCTCCAAATTTCCAAGCACCGAAATTTCCAAATTCCCAAGTTCTCACTCTCCCAAATTCTCAATCTCCCCAATTCCCACACTCCTAAATTCTCAATCTCCCCAATTCCAACGCTCCCAAATTCCCAAATTTCCAAACTCTCAAATCTCCTAATTCCCAAACTCCCAAATTCCCAATTTCACACATTTCTAAACTATTAAATTCCCAATCTACTGACCTCTCAGCTCCCCAAATTCCCCGACTCCCAAACCCCCAAATCCCCAAATTCTCAAGTCCCCAATTTCTCAACCTTCCACAATAAAATATCTCTGCAGGTTGCCTGACATCGACGTTCCACGTGTTCCTCGGCCTGCACGCCGGCATAATAATGATGACATACAAAGACTGGAAAGAGCGCGTGATAAGATGGCTGGCGTGGGCCGCGTTCTTCAGCTGCATCGGCTGTGCCCTCCACTTCACCAACGTGATTCCCGTCAACAAAAAATTATGGTTCGTCTCCGAAATAACATTGAATACCTCGTTTACCCACAATTTATATCTTTTTATTTAATAGGTCACTGTCGTTCGTGTTCGTAACAACGTCCTTCTCCCTCGCGTTTCTCTCCGCCTGTTATTTGCTCGTGGACGTCGTTAAGGTGTGGAACGGCGGTCCTTTCCGAATCCCTGGTATGCAAAACTTTCACAAAGATTGTGTAACGAGAATATTTACGACGTTGTATGAAAGAAAATGTGTCTTTGAAAATTATTATTTCTTTTATTGTCGGTAGGTATGAACGCATTGTTGCTGTATGTTGGTCACTCGGTGTGCTATAGAAATTTCCCTTTCCATTGGAGTATTGGGGATATGGACAGCCGGGGTCTTCGATTGTGCGAAGCGATTTGGGGTGCAGCTTTGTGGGCGATTATCGCTTATATTATGCACAAGAAACGCACCTATATCAGCCTTTGAAAGTTTATAGATGGGTGGTTTATTTTGAGAGAGGTGGAAGTCCATTTTCATTTATTCTGAGATAAAAAAAATTAGCATATGTGTCAAGGAAAAAGTGTAGGTTCAAGACTATTACAATTCAGCAATTTTTTACTGATTGCTCAATATGCAATTTGATTATACAAATTTGTTTTAAGTGATATAATAATGGTTTTAGGTAATGAAATGTCTGTTCATGCAAATGGACCACCACTTTCAAAATAAATGGTCCTAATGAATTGTATAAATGAAAAATTAAATTTCTTACTCCTTTTTTATATTCCAAGGTGTTAAATTATTTGTCCAAAAAATTATACACGTTATACCGAATTTTGAAACGAAAAAAATTAGAGAATATATTTTTACATATTTCACCATAGTGTAATTAATGTAATCAGTTCAGTTGATATGCACATTGCAGGTTTACTTTGAAAGGAGCACATAATGAATAAAAATAGCAAGTAACTTTACAAATAATTTATTGTACACAACTTACATAAATAGCACAATGACAGAGGTAACGTGACAGTATCGATAAAAGTACACTTTTCGAACCGACTAACATCGATTCCTCTCGAACGAAGACAGTCGACTCAACCTTCGAATTTTTACAATTTTCATCCCTCAACAAATGTGCACACACCGTGGATCAGAATGGAATAACGGAAAAAAAGAGGGGACAGGAGGGTGAAATCTACCGGGGCAACAAATACGATCGGTTGAATTTGCTACGGATGTTCGTAAACAAAATAAAAAATAAACGAAAAGAAAAAGGGGAGAGAAGAAAACACACTAGCAACGCCATGTTTCAAGGGGTACCCGCGTTCATTCAGTAATCCGTCGCATCGGGACCTGAAAATCGAAACAAACCATTTTATTAACGTTTTTTAAAAACAATCGTGAAATTCTCGTGAAAAAAAAGAAAGAAAAATGGTGCTCCTACAATAAAATACTGGCGAGCAAGACAAGACGCTTAAATCCTGCTACGCTACTTCTCTAACGAGCAATCTCATTCTTCAACGAAAAATGATCTTATATTTAAATTAACAATCGCGTGTATATCGATTTAACGGTGAACCACGATTTACCGTTGAACTGGCATAAATGAAACGTTAGTACAGATGCATCGTACATGCAGTCCTCGGTTGCTGGAAATAACGATACGATTAATCGAAGCATGCACGGACCAATCGGTTCGATAATGATTCTCTGATTAGGAAACGAGTAGCAACGTAAAACCACACTGCAAACTCAAATTTCTTGGGTTTATCCTTCGAACTTCTCCTGAAGTAAAAACCTTCAAGCTCTCCAAACTCTCGAATCGAAAACAGACACATCAAGCGTTGATTAATCGAGGAAGAAAAACTCGTGTCTCGTCGGTTCGACGTTGGTTAGTAACAAACCTCAGCAAAGGCACAAAAAAGTAAACAAAAAAAGAGAAGAAAATATAGAATTTCGAGTCACAGGATCGACACTTTGCGGTATAGATTTTGAAGTGAGAAAAAAAATCGCGGTGGCCCGTTTAGACGCGGAGAAAGTGGAGGTGGATCGGTTGAGAGTGAAACTGCGAGGACTGACGAGAGCATTCTTTACAAATGGATATTGTCGAGGAAGTTATTTCAAATGTTTCAGATCATAAATCCCTAAAAATTTACAAGTGGGAAGACTTCTTCTTTTGATTCTTCCTTGGTTACTTACTCTTATAGGAAAGATTTGATCTTATACCACCTGTTGCTATGTAAGATAATAGCAATACGGCAAATAGCAGATGCACAGCGATATAACGATCAGCTAATGCTTTCAAACTGACCCACTCTTAAATCTAACGGAACTCTTAACATCGCAATCCACGAACATGCAAAGGTCCATTAAACTCAGAAGAAATGTTCAGAACCTAACTTTCTACAGTATCCATTTGCAAATGCTCTCGACAGCTCGAGAAACTCTCAAGTGACCCCCTTCCAGGAACATACAGAAGTATAGAAAAAAAGTAAACAAAAAAGAAGTGAAGAAATAATAACGAACGAGAAAAAAATATTTTCGTCAATATATATAAAAAGAAAATAAAGTGCGAACAGATGAGTATATGGAAACGATATGTACCGATAGAAAAAAAAACCACGTAGCCTGTAGCCCCCCGGGCATAGTCAGCCCAGTCTTGCGAATCTAGAGAAAAGTTGCGCGAGGCTCGTCCGTGGACCGGTTGCTCGCGGCCAAACGCGGCCTCATTCTGCCCCGGGCCATCAGCAATGGTCGGATTTAAGGTTCACGGATGGGTTCGAGGGTACGGGACTGTCGCTAGTGTTATTCGTTCGTAACGCCTGAGGTACGCTCTTGGTACTTTTGATTCTTGGACATAGCACGTTCACCCTGTACGACCATAACGGCCTTCTACTCTCTAGGACCTTGAAGGCCAACGAGGGCACCACGTCGTGGTCACTGGTCACGGGTGATTTGCACGTCTTCCAGGCCTGATAGTAAGGATCCTCCTTGCAGGAAACGCGTTCCTGCCGGGTCAAGGGGTGACCCTGGCGGAACGAGTCTCCGTTCTGATCGGGTACCCTGGCGTTTTCGCTCTCGTGCAGTCTTCGCCACGATTGCTCGCACATGGGCGAATACTCGGGCGACGTGACGCCGCTGGAATAGTTGGAGCAATAGTTCTCGTCGTAGCTGAACGCGTTGTTGCTCAGAGGTAGACTCAGGTACTTTCTTCTGTTGGGTGTGTCGTTCGTCTCGGTGCCCTCTGGGAGGATCGAGTCGTCGTTCAACAGTCGGAACAGTCTCGAGTGAGTTTGAGTTCTCTGGTACTTCCTCATGTTCCTGGAGGAGGTGCATTCTGAGTCGGTGTCCACCTCGGAGATCATGCGACTCATGTCCGACGTGACGCCACTGTCTTCGTCGTCGGTTTCGTCTCTGGAGTTCTGCACGCTCAGTAAATGTTTGCCTTCTTTGGTCTTCTCTTCGACGTCCTCTTCGTTCTTGTGATTGTCTTGAACGGTGGAGTTCTGTGGAGGAACTTCATTCTGCAAATCTGTACTCTGACAGTCCGAAGCTTCTTTCCAGTTGCAGTCGGAGACTATCACCTCGGGTTTCAAGATGTTTCTGTTAATGTCGTGAGTCTCTACAGTTGTTTCTTCGAGGATTACTTCCTCGTGCGAAGCATCAAGGTCCTTGTTTGCACAGTTCGTTCTCCCAAGTTCTTCAAGGTCCGTGTTTGTGCAGTTCGTTCGCTCTTCTACGTCCTTGTTCCTGTCGTCTTCCTTCTTTACGGTCTTCTTCGACTTGATCGTGAACTCCGTCTCCACCGTCTCCTCGCAGTTGATTCTATTGAACCTCGTCGGTATCTTCCTCAAAGTGAAGTTCACGTGAGGCACCACGGGATCCTCGTTCTTCTCTACCTTTCTTTCGTTCTTAGATCTACGTTTACTCTCGGAACTATCCCTCTTCACGGTGAAGTCCACGCTGGTGTCGTTGTTCACCAAAAAATTCGCAGAAACCTCCTCGGTCTTCTTCTGCTCCTGACTCTTTGAACCCCGACCCTCATCCTTGCAGGATCTCTCGGGTTTGATCGTGCTGTCTCCAACGATCACCGTGGTCACGTCCTCGTTGTTCTCCGAAACCGAGAACCTAAACCGCAACGGTAGACTGACACTCACCGTCGTAGTGTCAGCTTCGTCGGGCGGGTCATCCGTGGCCTCGAAAGGCGTCACATTCTCCTCGACGTCCACGTTCTCCTGCGGCCGAGGACTCACGGAATCAGACCGCTCTACGTCCTCGTAGATCACGCTCAACTTATGAGGAAACGCGTTGGTGTCGACCTCTTCAGGGTCCTCCAGTTGCTCATCCTCGTCGGAGTCCGTATTATTCCTAGACTCTTGGATGTCACACTCGTTTCCAGGACTAGTCTTGTCGCTGTCCTCGAACCTACCGTGAGGATTCAGCCCTGTCGAGTACGCCAGGTAAGAATCGGAGTCGTCGCTGTCGGAAGACGTGTCATCCGCGTTGTTGTCGCTGCTGCTCTTAGCGGAGTCGGCGATGGACTCGTTGTCCGACTCGCTGGAGTCGCTGGAGTCGCTGGTGTCGATGTAGGTATAGTTAGGCACGTTAACGTTCAAGCTACCGTTGGTTTTCTTCTCCGGCTGGTCTCCGTTCGGTTCTGAAACAACCATCGCTTCAGGAATCTCTTCCTCGTCGGTAATGTTCATGGCTGTGGTGCAATCACTGTCCTTGCTGTTGCTGCTAGGGGTTCTAGACACGTGGCTCCCTCTGTCCCACCGAGGAGTCGGGTCCTCGGTATCTCTCGAGCCTTCGTGATTCTCTTTAGGCATCGTTACACCGTTATCGACTTGAGAGTAGTTATCGATAGGTGCAGAGCCTGGGACTACGTAGGACGCGTAAACACTGGGGTACCCGTTCTTGCCGGGGTCGTAGTAACCCGGGTAGTTTTGATTGTAAACGGGGAAGTACACGTAGGCGGTGTTGTCCGAATGATAGGGGAACGACTCGTTGGTGACACCGGGATAAGGGAGAGGATAGTAACTCCACCAACCACTGTCTGGGGACCAAAATGGAGGCGGACATGGGGGAAGGATGACACCCCCCTGCTGATTGCCCGGCACGTTATTCTCTGTTTGGCAGGTGTAATCTGCTTGACGATTTTCTTGCGTGGCTACAACAAACAGCACAATGCATTCAGACAAAGAAGTTCAACTGTTCCTAGTGGGGTGTGGTGTGGTCTTGCGTTTCTCCCTCTTTTCTCCCAAATTATGGCTCCTCTCCTCTCGCGGTGGAAGAACGCGCGATAGACATTTGCTTCTTCCCTTGATGTTCTAAACTTTCGCTACGAAAGCGAGTCGATAAGCTCCGGATAAGATAAATGTAGTTTTTAGAGAATGTGTACGCGATAACGCCTTGTCGATGACGTATTCGCCGTTTATCGCGTAACTCGAGCTTCGCAAATGTCTGAGAACGATCTTCCTTTGACTGTCGAAACAATCGACGGACAAGCGAGATGGCACGAAATCGGAGCATCTGAGGGCAAGGATAAGCATCTGACGCGTGTTCGGTCGGCTACGAGAAAGAAAACGTGTGATCCTGTGTTCAAAGGAAATCATCGAAAATTTCGTGAACGCAAAACCAGCTCGTCGATCAAGTCGGCTCGAAAACGGCGTTCGTGTAAAGCGACGATTACGTTCGAGAAGGAAAACATGCTAGTAATATTCTGGACGGAGTTCTCGCGTCGAGGAATCGTTTATTTAATCTCGAGAAAATATCTCGTGATCAGGGAAAGGACATCTAGTATCTCGTCAAGATAGAAATCTTCGCCTCGACGATCGGCCCCCAGTATCAGAGTCCAAAATATTCGTGTCCAGATACATGCAAGTGACCACTTGTAATTACAGTAAATCCCAGCGAGTAACACGTGAAATCAATTAATACATGCAACATTCCCGTTAAAGTACCCAGTCCATAACTCGCCATACTTTATTAATTTCTAGTATCTATATAAACGATGTTGCTCTATACAAGGCATATCCGTAAGTAGAGAAGGGAACAGTAATACGTTTACCATTTCAACGATCGAAAAGTAGACTCTCGTTATATTCCCGCGGACGGGGCTGTGAAGCGGTTCATTCTTGAAACTGGCATGATCTCGTTTATTGACACTGTATGATCGAAGTACCTACACATGTGCTGATAATTTAGAGTTCTAAATATTCAAGCCAGAGTTCTAAAGCTTTGGACTTTAAGAAACATCGAAACCCTGCAATCTAAAATTTACAAAGTTGCAAAACTTGCAAGATTTTTAAAAGTTCAGAAACTTTAGAATCCTAAATTGCTAAAATCCCAAAGTCCCAAAATTTGTGAAGAATGAAAATTTTATTGCCAAAAATCCCTAAGTCCCAAAGTATCCCCCAAAAATTAAAATTCCAAAAATTTTGGTGCCCAACCGCGAATAAGTACAGTGACGGCAATATAACGAGAGTCCACCGTAAATCGACGATTCACCTACCATGCACTGTTCAACACTTTCGTATCGGATTTTCACCGCCAATGAAACTGTAGCTCGATAAAAATCGTCCACTACCGTATCATAATTTTAATACCAGCTCGAATGAGATTTTGAACGGGAAACTGTCGCGAGATCGAGGAATTTTCGTTATTCCTGTGAACACAGGATTCGGGAATGTATCCAGCGACGGCACGCAATAAATTGTGATTACTTCGGTTTAATAATCATCCATTAGAATGTAAGACGCTTGTCACTGAACATTAATGTACAAAAGGTCAATAGAAGCTTCTTGCGATTAATCTTATGAACGAGTAGCGTGTTCCTGCATGAATGATGACGTGTGTATACGCTGAAGAGATTGTACGAGATCTCGATGTTCCACGGTGAGCCGATTTATCGCTCGTCGATACTCACCGACGCTTTCCGGTGCCGTCATGGCTTGCAATATCCTGAAGGATCTCGAGGGTATCGCGCTGCCCATGTACTTCTTTGGCTCTGGTACCTGTTGCTCGCTCGGTGGTAGGTTCGCTTGCGTTTCTTCTGCGCATGCACCAATATATCATCAGCATATTAGCATCGATATTTCAACTTAAATCGCAAAATCATCTATTAATCCTTTGACTACGGCAGACTTTGGCACGCACTGTTCATACGGTATGGTACGAATTCACTCGCGACGTCCACTGGGTACGGCGAAATTTTACGTTAGACATGCATTGGACGCCTATTGGCGCCAACAGTTCCGGGAACATGTTTCGGATGCCAATAGGCGCCAACAGTAGTCAAAGGGTTAAGGATCTATATATCATGGCAAAGGGCTTACCGAAAGTCTTTGAATTTCTGTTCTGCTTCTTGTTTATGGCGGATTGCGCTCGCGGTGCTGTAACAGATATCAGGTGTAAGAGCAATTTAATTCATTCTAACATCTCTTGACCTATATTACAAAATTAGCTAAAAGGTCAGTAGAAGCTTCTTGCTTCACACCATGCTTCATACAATTTTTATGACGTTTGAATATTGTCTAGTGGTCAAAATAATGTTTAGTACGCATTTCTTTTGCTGGTAAAAATTTGTGACATCGGAAAAACAGCCCCTATATTTAAAACAAAGATAAATTCAAGGAAAATCGATTATTTTCTGCTGAAAGAACAAGTTTAATTTTATCTTCAAATTAAATTATTATCATCAAATAAGTTTCTTCTTCATCCAAAAATAAAAAGTTTTCGTGAACGAACTGTACCAGTGTTCATAACGGGGGTGTCACCGGAATCCGTCATGGTTTGCAAGAAGCGGAAAGCACGAGACGGTATCGCTGCTCCGCGATATCTGGGATCCTCTTCGTGATGAAGAGAAGATTCATTGTCGACTAAAAAAGAAGAAAATGTATAAAACATATTTGATACTATACATTTAACTTTGTGGGGCACAATCGTACCTTGTTCCTTAAATTTGTTCATCAAAACTCTATCATCGTCGGACAGCTGGAGTTTCCGTATCTGTTCTGAGTCCACATCGTTGGAGTCTGTGTCGGTGATCTTCTGGAGGACGCGGAACGATCGAGACTGAACTGGACCGGACTCTGACTGCTGGATCTGTACTGGCACGCGTTGTGGTATCCTGTTGATAATAAATAAGGCGTTACACAATCTTCGCTGAATGCATATTTGATAAAACCATCGATAAATAAAACTTGCGAAGTGCTTGCGAGACCTAAGATACAAATGTGACAATATTTTCAAACAACAAATATTATAAAACTGAAATTAAATTAACAACTTGTCAGTGGTCCTCTCTGTACACATCTATTTTGAATAAATTAATAAAAATAATTTTTAAGTTAGTCGGTAGCATTAAGTGAAGAGAAACTTACACCTTTGCACTTTGATTTTCAACATTCGATACGTTATTCCTGACCGGTTGCGAGTACGGAGTATTGGACGCAGGTCCTCCTGCGGGTTTCCTGTCATTGCCTTCGACCATAATAGGTATGATGAAGGTACCACCCGATGGTTGATGCTGAGGCGACTGTGGCTGCACTTGATTTACAACTTGATTTTGATTCATAACTTGAGCAGGTGGTTGACCCCATCGTTGTTGATGATGAGGACTCGGTTGTTTGAACTGATGATGACCTGCTTCCTGCTTCACGTCGAACACGGATGGTCTATCCTCGATCTAGATAAAATAAATATACAATTACAAATTTGCCTAATCAATACACACAATTTCTTGCCTAAATAAATACATAAAAATGACATTTTCTGATACTACACATAGAAAAGAACGACAAGGAACAACCCTTGTCACATTCGACAAACTCCGTCCACTAATTCATCTCCTCACTTCATCTACTTCATTCATGTACTTTATCCACTGATTCATTTATTCTACTCGGTCACATTTCAAAAAAGCTACCACTAAATCCACCTATAAACCATACTATATCTACACTATAAACTATAAATAAATCCACAGACTTACGCGAATGGGTATCACTCGTTCCTGCGGAAAAGCTTGCGTATTGTTCTGCGGCGTAACTGGAGGACTAGAATAAGGACGTCTCTGTTGCTGTTGCTGGTTAAACTGTTGAGGCTGCTGCGATTGAGGCCTCTGCTGAATAGGCTGCTGTTTCTGTTGAGTTTGTTGCCATTGCACTGGCTGCTGCTGGGGCTGTGTTTGCTGAACCGTCGCGTAAACCGGCGGTGACGTCGGACTCTCCGGCGACGAGCTTTGCTTATTCACGCTCGAACGTTTCGCCCACTCGGGCAGCTCTTCCTGCGGTTTGTTCTTGTTCTGGAGCCAGGGCGTCGGCGCTTTAGTCAGCGTCACCTGGGTTGGCGTGCTGGGACTCTCGGGGGAACTCGGCTGAACCGAGTTTATAGCAATCGGTACCACTTTCGGCTCTACTTTGGTCACGATTTTCATCGGCTCTGGTTGCTTTTCTGGAACTGGAAATTTGAGGTATAATTAATTTTTGTTAAGGTGAACTGAGGATGGGGAGCATTTTGGGGGTTATTGTTGGGGTTAAAGGTAGGGGAATTTGGGGAGAAGGAGATTTGGGAATTGGGGAATTGGGAAATTGGAAAATTGGGAATTAGGGATTTGGAGAGTAGAGTTGGGGAGTTGGGAATTTAGGAGATTGGGAAGTGGGAGATTTGGGTGGGAATTGGGGGATGTGGGAATTGGGGGATGTGGGAATTGGGGGATGTGGGAATTGGGGGATGTGGGAATTGGGGGATGTGGGAATTGGGGGATGTGGGAATTGGGGGATGTGGGAATTGGGGGATGTGGGAATTGGGGGATGTGGGAATTGGGGGATGTGGGAATTGGGGGATGTGGGAATTGGGGGATGTGGGAATTGGGGGATGTGGGAATTGGGGGATGTGGGAATTGGGGGATGTGGGAATTGGGGGATGTGGGAATTGGGGGATGTGGGAATTGGGGGATGTGGGAATTGGGGGATGTGGGAATTGGGGGATGTGGGAATTGGGGGATGTGGGAATTGGGGGATGTGGGAATTGGGGGATGTGGGAATTGGGGGATGTGGGAATTGGGGGATGTGGGAATTGGGGGATGTGGGAATTGGGGGATGTGGGAATTGGGGGATGTGGGAATTGGGGGATGTGGGAATTGGGGGATGTGGGAATTGGGGGATGTGGGAATTGGGGGATGTGGGAATTGGGGGATGTGGGAATTGGGGGATGTGGGAATTGGGGGATGTGGGAATTGGGGGATGTGGGAATTGGGGGATGTGGGAATTGGGGGATGTGGGAATTGGGGGATGTGGGAATTGGGGGATGTGGGAATTGGGGGATGTGGGAATTGGGGGATGTGGGAATTGGGGGATGTGGGAATTGGGGGATGTGGGAATTGGGGGATGTGGGAATTGGGGGATGTGGGAATTGGGGGATGTGGGAATTGGGGGATGTGGGAATTGGGGGATGTGGGAATTGGGGGATGTGGGAATTGGGGGATGTGGGAATTGGGGGATGTGGGAATTGGGGGATGTGGGAATTGGGGGATGTGGGAATTGGGGGATGTGGGAATTGGGGGATGTGGGAATTGGGGGATGTGGGAATTGGGGGATGTGGGAATTGGGGGATGTGGGAATTGGGGGATGTGGGAATTGGGGGATGTGGGAATTGGGGGATGTGGGAATTGGGGGATGTGGGAATTGGGGGATTTGGGAATTGAGGTATTTGGGAATTGGGGGATTATGGAATTGGGGAATTATGGAATCGGGGAATGTGGGAATTGGGGGATTTGGGAATTGGGGAATTATGGAATTGGGGAATTATGGAATCGGGGAATCATGGAATCGGTGAATTATGGAATCGGGGAATTATGGAATCAGTGAATCATGGAATCGGTGAATTATGAAATCAGTGAATTATGGAATCGGTGAATTACGGAATCGGGGAATTATGGAATCAGTGAATCATGGAATCGGTGAATTATGAAATCGGTGAATTATGGAATCGGTGAATTATGGAATCGGTGAATTATGGAATCCGCGAATTATGGAATCAATGAATTATGGAATCGGTAAATTACAAAATTGGGAAATTATGGAATCATTGAATTACAAACTCCCCATCTTTCCCCCAAATTCCACTTACTAATTGGAGGAGATCTGTTCGCAGGAGGCGTCGGAGGCGTCCTATTCGCCGGCGGCGTCGGAGGAGTCCTGTTCCCAGGCGGCGTAGTGGGTGCCCTGTTCGCAGGAGGTGTCGGAGGTGTCCTATTGGCAGGAGGTGTTACAGGTGTCCTGTTCGGCGGTTGTACCGGAACATTGGTCGGGAACACAGGGATCGCGACTTGGGGCTGAACGAACAGATTCGCCCCGGTATTTGGCGCTGGTGTCGGCTTCGGTTCGAGTGTTGACTTCGGTGGACCTTCGATACCTTCGTCGTTCGCGTTCTTCGCCACTCTGCGTGCCATTCGTGGACTTCGAATCTGGGATAGGTCCAGCTTGCCACCCATTCCCGGGGTGTACGTGAACGGCTTCTTATCCTTCGTCAGCATCGCGTTTTGGATGGCCGCTGGTGGCTCGTAAGCGTCGTTGCTGGCTATCTGTGGCCGTTTTATCGTTGGTGTCTATAATTAAACGCGGCTGTTAAACTTACATCGACGACATTCGTTTCGTCGGATCATAAAGTTTTACGGTGGAAAAATACCGAATGCTTAGGGGATCATTTAAACAGCCGGGCTTAGGAAAGTTGAAGTTATGACCTGGTATATTCGCGAGTAGAGATTTAGGAATATACGCTTCAATAATGTACAATTTTTATATCGTAAACTCCTCATTTTTGTAAAATTGATTTATACATCAAAACATTTCCGTTATGTTTTATTTGAACATCTACATACGTGAAGCAAACAGATCCACTCATCGAAATTAAACAAATTCTTGACCAGTGAACGAAGTTAACCTTGATCTACCTCGCAATTTTATTACCTGCCAGAGGAAGGTCGCACAAGAAATTCAAGTACTTCAAACTTCTTTAAAACATCTTATTTAACAAAGTAACGACTATCAGAATGATCTTGAGTTTCAGTACAAATCGATTATCAAGTTTACTCGAAAAGTAACGAAGGTCATGGAGTTTTATGAAATTTGTTTGCTCACATTCTTGCGGGAGAGTTTCATATAATCCGTATTATAAATTTTGCACACTCGACATTCTTTATTCGATACGTCAGTAACAGTGTGAAACCGTGTAAGAAAAATATACATCCTTCAAATTATTGTATAGTCTTCCAAAACTTGAGTCACGTATCTTTCAAAATGTAGTCTAGGTTATTTTAAAACATTATGACTGATCTTGGTTAACGAGTGAGGTATGATCAGTGACTGGGTTTGAAGTAACTTAGATTAGGTTTTGAAAGCTGAGTACAAGAGTACTCAGGTTTTAATGTATTGTTTGAACACTTCTATTTACTGTGGGAGCACAAAGAGATTTAGGACATATTTTTCAAAAATGTATTTATGAAGTGAAGTATGTTATATTAAAACTTTTATGAATATAAAATTTTCATTATATATGCACAATGATGATTGATCATTTGTATAGCGACAATTTTCAAGTTCGTTTTTATTTAATGAATTTGAAGAAACTTACTGCTAAAACTTTCACCAGTTCAAAATAGATGTGAATTACACTAAAAATGTACATTGACAACTTCTGCAGCGATAGATTAATTTTAAGTTCATTCTGTTTAAATGAATTTGAAGTAACATACTGTTAAAACTTTCACTAGTTCAAAATAGACGTCAGTTACATCAAATATGAACGTCGATAATTAATTCCTAGTGTGATGCATTAATTTTCAACTTCATTCTGATAGAATTTTAAATGACATGCTAAAACTTTCACTAGTTCAAAATAGATCTCAGTTACACCTAATATTAACACCGACAATTAATTTCTAATGTGATGCATTAATTTTTAACTTCATTCTGATAGAATTTTAAATGACATACTAAAACTTTCACGAGATCAAAATAGACGTCAGTTGCATCAAATATGAACGTCGATAATTAATTTCTAGAGTGATACATTAATTTTCAACTTCATTCTGATAGAATTTTAAATGACATACTAAAACTTTCACTAGTTCAAATTTTATGTCAGTCACACTAAAAATGTACATAGAAAATTTCTGCAGCGATAGATCAATTTTCAAGTTCCTTCTGATTAAATGAATTTGAAGAAACCTACTGCTAAAACTTTCACGAGTTTGGATCTCGTGTCACAAAAGTCCACATCATTTCTACAGTGACGTAAAAATATGTCTACAGTGTGCAACGACTTACATTTAATGTAAAACTTGATAAAATAAAAGATCTCACCATATTGAGGCACACAAGAAAGGATCATCCAAAAAAAGACACAACACGTTTGATTCGAAGCGTAGATTCCATTGATTTGGCCGAAGGCAACGACACTCGCTCGACGAGTTATGAAGGCAAACTGACGAAGCAAGGCTTACCTCGACGGTGTTGATCCTCATGGCCGGCACCTGACCAGGTACTGGAGGCGGTGGTGGTGGAGGTGGAGGCGCGGGACAAAGTCCTGGAACGATTAGCTATTTAGTGGAATGCTAACGAGAGGGCCAGCAAACTATGCGAACTCTGCACATCCTTTTCGTGCAGACTTTCACGCGTGCCTCACCGGAAACCGGTGTTTGCCGAAGACTTACCGTCGTCCTTGAATCTTTTATCGAAAGATAAAAGATGGAAAGAATCTTTCGATAAAAGATATAAAGAATCTCTTGGCGACCGTTTGTCGAGGTATTGTCGATTATGTTGGTAAGAGATAAACGTGATCAAGTTTGACATTTTTTTAGGTTATGTTTGAAGGTATATTCGTATCGATCTGAAGGATCCACTAAAACCACTAGGTTGATAATAAGGATCCGTTTATCGGCCATGTTTGAACAGAACCCATAATTCACTGATTTTATAATTCACTGATTTCATAATTCACTAATTCCATAATTCACCGATTCCATAATTCCCAAATTCCCAAATCTCCCAATTTTCAAATTTTCCAATTCTCAAATCCCCCAATTCCCAAATTTTCAAAATCCAAAATCCTCCAATTCCCAAATCCCCCAATTCCCAAATCCTCCAATTTCCACATCCCCCAATTCCCACATCCCCCAATTCCCACATCCCCCAATTCCCACATCCCCCAATTCCCACATTCCCCAATTCCCATATTCCCCAATTCCCACATGCCCCAATTCCCACATTCCCCAATTCCCAAATTTTCAAAATCAAAAATCCTCCAATTCCCAAATCATCCAAT